CAGTCAAGAACTTAATATTTTGCTAGAAGGTTCTTTAGGCCTTTGTCACTGGAAGCGGCCAACAGACATTTGGTGATTTTAGGCAGGCTTTTCTCTATCTTAAGGCCATGATCTGTCTCTCAGAGTGAGTGGGACTCTGGAGTTCAGGGTCCTGTTTCCCGAGCAGCATGGGCTGGTTCTGCCTCAGAGACACATGTCACCTGGCAGGTGCAGACAACAGGGAGGGGGAATTTGCAGTAAGTATTGCATGAGGAATGCCTCAAGCATTTTTGAAGTGTTTGGTACAAGCTCTGGGGATGAAGTTGAGAAATTTTACTTCATCAACTTTGTCCCTGTCCTGCTGCCTGAGATTTCAGGGGGGCTTTAGTTTGGTGCTTTACAGGGATTCCAGCATGTTGTCCTGGAAGTGGTCAAACACCAGACAAGCTTTCTTTAAGCAAGTTAAAGACAGACATCTGTTAAACCATCCCACCCCTTTTTATCATTGATCTGCATTTTGAGTGCAGTCCAGTCTCTAACCTTTCCTTTCCTGATAGGGTTGATGCCAAAGGTGCTGTGGGGCCACCCTAATTTGACTTTGTTGTACTTCACATTCTTGTATTTCTTCCCCCTCTCTGAGGCCCACTGAGGCACACAGGCTCTAGTTCTGTTAGACAATGAGGAGCTCCTAGAGGTGACCAAGAGAGGTCAAAACCACAGGCAGATTCTTTGATCTATCAGCAGCTTTGTAGACCTTGGATCAAGAAACATTATTGAGCTGTTTGTCAATGGCTGTGGTCTGAGTAGCCCTTTTGTCAATTTGAAAGGGAGTTGGGTGAGAGCACCTGGGGGTGATGCTGGCTTATTTTGTTTTACTCCTATCCTATTGCTATCCAAAGTCTGCATTTTGGGGGAGAGCCCATGTGGGCTGTGCAGCTATGCATACACAGGTAACTCATAGATCTGCATCTGTGCTTAAGCAGATCTGCATGTCATCTCCCTGACCTGGACTTTGACACAGCCCACCTGCCCATGAGACATTGGATTTGGATTGCAATTTCTCAGAAACCTCAGCTGGTTCAGTATCAGGCCATGACTCAGCAGTGCTCCTTGTGAGGAATGTGGTCTCGACAGGCTTTTCTGCTTCTAAATTGATTTCAGATGCACATCACACTGTCAGCTGCACAAAATTTTCTCTGATTTTTTTTTCATTTCTGAATGCTGACCACCACTATATCATGGCCAACAGGATAAGTGGGAATCTCTTATTCACTGGTGTCTACTTTGAATTACCATGCTCAAAACAGAGGCAGTAGAGGAGGATGATGATCATCAGCTGCTTTGGGGAAAAGTTAGTGTCTCGTCTTGAGCTGTCACTGAAGATGGGTTCATGCTGGACGTTCTATGGAAGCAACTGAGGTGCAGGCATATGTTCCCTTCTGCTGACTTGGCTGTGGTGACACCAACCCCAGCCAGCAAAGAAGAGCCAGCAACTGGGAGCAGTAACATCTCAAACTGCAGCAGAGATTGGCCAGACCGCTCCTGTCAGCACTTGGATTCCCTTGCTGTTCATTGAGGAATTAAAAGTTAACTGAGGGCGGTGGTAAAAAATAGCTTTGCCTGCCTAGAAAATGCTAAAACCAATACTGAAAAGCAGAGGTGGATCTGAAGGTAGTTATCTCTCTTGGAGTTTATATGGGGATTAAAACAAGCGTCATCCTTGTAGCACATAGGCAATTTTATAATCACTGCTGGTATTTCACCTCAGGGTACTCTGTGGGAGGAAGAATTAATTTCCCATCTTTTTCTAGGTAATGGAGGCTTGTGATTTTCTGTCAATCATAAAGGAGATTCTGTGGCCAAACTAAGTGCCAGAAGTGATTGAATAGTCTGGGATTGGTAAGGGTGTACCACCTCACCTCCAGAAATCAAACTGGGGAAACATGCATGCAGAGAAATGCCACAAGATGTTACATGGCCATTTCACTTCCACATCAACAGGAAAAGACACTACAAGGCTGTGCAAAGCATAAGAAAAACTGCTGTGCAAAGCAGTGGCTGCAAAATTAAAATACAGGATGTTTTATTATATGCAATCCTCCCTCACACCCCCCCATCTCTTCTTGTTAAAGGCAGAAATCTTTCTTAGTGAAAAAAGCCTGCCTCATCTTGAGTAAAAGGCAATTTAAGCAATTTTTTTTCAGGGGGTTAAAGTGGCATGTTTGCACAACACCACCCTCACCCCAGCAAACCTGCCAGCAGTTGATAGATATAAATAGGGACATTTAGGAAGAAAAGCATATTTATGTTCCTTTGAAATGTGCTTGGCTAAAGGCATATTTTTAAGAGAGGGAGTGGAAAAACAAATGGAAAATATTTTCTTTGAAAGGGGAAAAAAAAGCAACAAACTGTCCTTCCTAAATAGAGATGCTTGGCTTGTGTGTACTTTACGCAGCTGCAGGTCAGACCTTGCAAACAACCACTAAATTAGGTCCAGCTACTTTGATGCTAAAAGCATGGAAGTGCCAATAATTAAATTGCATCAGATGTAGGAAATGACTGATGTGTCTGTCATTCTCATGATAGCAGAGTTCACTCTGCTGCCATTTGACTGACCCCTCCTTCTTTATGTAAGCAAAAGGAATTTTCTTCTAAGGAAAATCAGCTGGTTTTACACCTTTTATTTTGTTTTCTGAACTGCTAATCCCCTGAAGGTATAGAAGCTATTTGAAAGAGCAAATCAAAGCTCCAATAATTTAGTGTTACATTATTCGTTGATGTATGGTTTGATTTAGTGGCTACTTATTATATCAGGTTACCATATAATTATCTTAATTATTGACTCCAGAAGTAAGTAGGGGGATTATGAGAGAGACAGGAAGGCCCAGTGGAAAGAGCATGGTTCAGAGAATCAAACACATCTCAGTTTGCTCTTGGCTCCACCACTCATTTTCTCTGAGCCTGAATTCTTCTCTCAGCCAGCCTGTCCATGAAATCATGAGGGATTACAGGAATAGGACTCAGATGCTGACTCAGGATTCAAAGAGATGTAGGAGAGCAGTATAAAAAGGCCAGGGGAAAGTTCTGAATGATAATTGTAAAACTGGCAGAAAAATAAAAAATGCACACCACAGCATGTATTTGCATTGAAGAGTGGAGCATCTCCAGTGGGCATGGAGAAGGGGAATTGTGCCATGAAGACCTGAAATTTGAGACTGCATTTCCAGCCTCTGCTTCTGATTTCCCCCACAAAATTAGGCAGCCCTCAGATCCCTTTCTGCAAAACAAGGGTGATTAAGATCATTCTCCCAGCTTTGTTTTTGGCTATTGGAATTATTGGAGCACTGCTCCTCAGGCAGATGTCAGCCACGACTCTCACGTGGCTTTTAGGCTCTGAGTCCTTTGTCTGATAACCACTGACCTAAGCCAAAGGTTTGAGTTAGCAGGCACCACCACGAGATAAAAGCCACAGTGAAAGGCTGTCAGTGCAGTCCATATTTCCTGTATTGATAATATTTGTCATATACTGACAGAATACTTCATCTATTGACAAGCTGAGTTGCCTCTTTTCCCCTGAGACAGGAGCACACACACACTGGTTCTACTCAGCCTGTGCAAATTACTTTCTCTCCTTCTGCTTTTCTTTCCCGAGCCAGAAAATGGGGATAATAGAATGTATCTATTTCCTCCCTAGAAAAGATCAGTTAATGTGAAATGGTGCATGGTGGCTTAGTGCTGAATAAGTGGGATACCCTAATCCAGCAAGGTATCCTTGTTCTATTGTATGCCTTTTCTGCCTACCATCTGGAGTTGTTCTCTGCTTAGTATTTTCAGTATGTACCATATGTTTTTGCATGAAAATTCAATAAAATATGCATTATACATGAAAAGTGCTGTAGTAAATAAAGGAAGGATGGAATCCAGTCCCCTTTGTGAACGGCAGGGGCCCCAAATCTTCATAAAAGGTTTAGTCTAGTCTGACGTCTGTGCTTTTCTCCAATTTACTCTGTGTCAGTCTTTAGGAGATGCTCTAATTTAAAACAAAACTCTACTTTCCCGATGAGGTTATTTGATATACTTTGGCTGCCCTCTGCTGAGAGCACTGAATAAAACAGGGAAGATGCCCTTTTTCCAAGGAGGAAATTCCCTGTTTGTCCGTGTGCTGAGTCTTGTCACTGCTGCTGTTTGGTGTCTCTCGCTGTCTGTTTGTTGCCAGTCAGAGGGTAAAGTCTTCTGAGCTACAGCCCTGTTGGGGTTTTAGTGCCCACCACTCCTTGTCAAGGGCTGAATGGCTTTGTGGGGTTGTGAAGATGTGGGCTCAGGCATTGAGCATTGTGAAAAATTAAGCAGCATTAAGCAAGGGCTGGAGGAACCAGGCTTCTCTGCTCAGGCACTACTGCAGCCCTGCCAGGTGGGATTTGAGCTGTGCCTCAGCACCTCGCTCCTTGGCAGAGCAATTTACCACTGTGTGAATTGTGTTACTCCTCAGTCGGGGGCTCCAGCATCTTCCTGTGCCATCTCCACCCCTCCACAGGCATCACAGCAGCAGCACTCTGCTCTATTTCTAGAGCTGGGGAAGTGCAGAGGGGTTGTTCCAACACTAACACGAGTAACTGAAGGACTTGCTGTTCTTGTGAACAAAGTGTGAGCCTCCTGCCCTTGGGAAGAAACAAGGGTCCTGTGCAGATTTTGGTACATGTGTAAAACAAGAGCTCCGTTACAGCTATTGATGCACTCTCTAATAACCTGCTTTTAATATTTCCTAGCAAGTTGATTTATTATTATACCTTCAGCTGGGCTGTGCACCAAAGCATTTTGATGATGAAAGGAATGTTACACACACATTTAATTACTGCCCACATTTTTGTATAATTTTATCGTTTACTGTTTTAGATGAGACATCGAGTTCTTCTACAGGAAAGATGCCCAGTAAAAAATAGATGATTTAAAAGCTAATCTGGGATGAGTTTGGCACTTACATGTGAGAAAATGTAATTGTTCCTTTTGTCCTGCCCTTTCAGATGGTGCCTGATTACCAAAATGTACAAGAACTCCCTTACCTGGACATGGTGATTGCAGAGACGTTGCGCATGTACCCACCTGCATTCAGGTATCTTTTTTTTCCCCTGCTGATTAGACAGGATAGCTCCCTGGCTCTATAAAATGGAAATCTGCTGTTGGAAGACCAATGATCTCTCAGTCTCTGTGCCAACATCAATACTGCTTTGTGCATTTGAAAGATATCATGTGGCCTGTTGAAGGAAAGCTGGATAATTCTGGTATTTCTAAAGCACATTTTTACAGTGAATTGGCCAAGGTTGCTTCCTCACCATTCCTCACAGCCCCCAAGGTTAGAGGATGGAGCCATTTTGGAGCAAGTCTGGTCAGAGAAAGCCAGAGGCTGCTGCTTCCATGTGCCTCAGGCTTTGGGGATGTGCACCAAAACCCATCCCCATCAGGGCCCTGTTGGTTATTACAGCCCTGATCTGTGGAAGGGTTGCACAGTCTGGAAGCTGTATTTTACAGATGTATTTCAAACATGTATTTTACCTGTGTGTTTAACTTTGGCCCATTCACCCTTAGCACTGCCCTGTACTAATAGAGCTAAACTAATGGTAACATCCATTAACTCTTGAAAATTCTGTCCCAAGTCACACATGACTTATTCTACTATATTGATGAATTGAAAACGAGGGAAAAAGAAATTAGAAAACTGTTTGATTGTTAAAGGTCCAAGTTATCACAAGCATAAATACAAATATTAAGAAATACAGTTTTTTCAAAGGGATCAGCCAGTTGTAATGCTTCTCATGAAGCTCAGGGAAAAATTCAGATGACTGGAAAGAAGCCAAAGCTGAGCTTGCTGTGAGAGCTTTTGAAAAATTTAACCCATGACTGCAAGCACCTTAAAAACAAAAACAGAAAAAGCTTAAGATCATATTCTCTTCTTTATGTTCACCAAGATTCGAAATCAACATTTTTTTCATGGGCATCTGCAGGATTTTTTAGAGAGTTAATATCAGATATCTGCTCCTGGATGAGATGATGGGGTTTTGCTGTGTTATACTTGGGGTACAAGTGGAAACTGTTTTGCTGGTTAAAGTGACAGGGGTCTTTGAGTTTGGGCTCTATCACTGGGAAACAATCCATGTTTGTCAGATGGAGACAGAACAAGAATAGAACAAAGTTCTTCTGAAGTTTTGTTTGGTGTTGTCAGGGCTGTTTATTGATCTGGCTTTTACTCTGATGGATGTGGAATGGATAGGACAGCCCAGGGCTGCTGAAAGATGTTAATTGCCTGTGACAAGGATAATGCTGAGTTAAGTGAAAAAACAGTAGCAGCCAAGTTTGTTATGAAATTAGTTGGTTTCATTTTTTTTTGAATGAACTTACTATCCAGAGAACTTTCTCACCCAGAACTCATGTTTCCATTATCACCAAATTCATGTAAGAATGAGAAGGATAGCTTGTCAATGCTTTTTTTTTTTTTTTTTAATTCCAATGTTTTGTTGCAGGTTTGTAGCCTCTTTTATTTATTTGTCTATGAGAAAGGGAGATCGGTGACAGCAAGGGAAGAATGTGTTTCTGTAATGATACCAGACTGACAGCCCTGAAGCTGAAATCTTTGTTCAACTTTTTGGCAGAGTGTGGGAAACAGCAAAGGAAGTTCCTGCACATTGCCTCGGCCCTGTGCTTGCAGATGGTCCCAGACTGAGACAGCAGGGCACTCACCTGAGTCTGGGCTGATTTGGGGTCTGTAGTGACCACCCAAGCACCAAAAGATCAGGATCAGAACCCACCACCACACATGCACACCCACACACAATCTTTTGTAAGACACAAGCTGGGCTTTGGCTGGTGACTTTTCTCAGTATTGTCATGATGAGGTTCCTAAGGACACCTCTGTCACCTGTCACCACAGGGTGGGAGAAAACAGCAGAGTTTTGCTGTTAACATCATGCCTGTCTTTGCTGAATATATGTGAAATGTGGTTTTCCAAAGCTTGTGAATTAGTTGTATTTCCAGAGTAGCAGCAGCAGCAGAACACCCAACACTAATATTACAGCCATCCCTTGCTAAGTTTCAGGTGCTGCACCAACAGGGGGAAGCTTCTCAAATAAACAAACTCAAAGCTATATTTACTATCTTTTTTTTTTCCTGGAGGCAAACCAGCATACTCTTTCTACCTGTTATTAGAGGTGACTGACACATTTCATCAGCAATTTTCATTAAAAAAATGAGTCTAAACCCAACATCAACAATAAAATTGCAGTTTAGCAGTTAATGCTTTTGAAAACGGTAAACAACCAGAAATGGTTTCCTGTGAAAAGGGCAGAAGTCAACCACCTGAGCTGGAGCTATGGACTTCTAAGTGGAGACAATTGTAACCTGAGAAGACACTGGCATCAGCAACAGTTGTTGTATTTATCTATGAGAAAGTGTTACCCCAGAAATTGTTTGGTCAGATGAACACAGATACTTTTATAGATCTCTCCTGCTGTGTTTTTAACCTTTATTAATCATCTGGGGTGCATGATGTTGTTGCAGATTCACTAGGGAAGCAGCTAAAGACTGTGTAGTGCTGGGGCAGCATATTCCAGCTGGAGCTGTCATTGAAACTGCAGTTGGACACCTTCACCACAACCCTGAGTTCTGGCCAGAACCTGAAAAATTCATTCCTGAGAGGTATGTGGAGTAGTGCTTTTCACCCTTAGGCTGAGGTCCTTACTTGGGCACAGAACTCCAACCTGTCCAGTGCAGGCACCAGATTCTGCTGCTCTTTCACAGCCACAGTCACCCACTATTCATCCAAAGCAGCATTTCCACCAAGAGGAGCACAGTTTTATTTAGACCATAAAAACATGTTATTTCTACTACATCAGACAGGTTATGATAGTGGTGTATTCCACAGAAGGTGCAAAGTTTGGTCAAGGTTGAACTGTGGCAGAGGTTTTCAGACCTGTTTCCAAATCAGATACTGTGAATAAGGTTGTTTCTGGGTGCCAAAATTCTGAAGTGGGACAGTATATTCACTGCCTTGGCTGTACCTGGGAAACTCATCCAGCTCCTTGCTGGCTTAGAGCACTCTTTTCACTTGAAACATAACAGTGTTATGTTATAACTTGGGGAACCTACCCCATCTCCCACTGGGAATTTGCTGTCTGTATTTTAGGATCCTTGATTCTTGCTTGGCAAGACAGTTTCACATGGAGCATTTATATCCTCAGTGGGTAGGGGGAACCCTGTCAAGCTGTAATTTTGTACCTGTCCTGTGTTACAGGTGTTGGTCTGAGCTTACAGGGAGAGTTTCAGATGATGTGGTGCTGTGTGGAAGCACAATTTAGTTTTGTGGGCAGCTATATTTTTAAACTGTTTAGTGGGCAGATGCATTTAAAGCTACCACTACATTCAGAAGCTTACTTAGAAAAGAAGTGCCTGCTTCATAAACAACTGGGAGTGAGACTGGCAGCCCAGAACCATCTTTACCAGTAAGACACACTTGTGTGGTGTAGATTGGTTTGCCTAATGCTCCTTCTGGAACAAATCCAGGCATATGCTCCATTAGAATCTTTTGGCTACAAAGAAGAGCAATACCAGGTTAGAGAAGACCAGAGATTTTGCTGGAGAGAAATCTTAGCAGCAGCTGGAAGTCTGGGGTGGGTATTTTTAGCAATGCTTATCTAGAAGTGCTTTCTTAATTGTTTATTCACCACTTTAACAGTAGTATGAAAGGGTAAAATGGTTAGTAGGGGCTGCAGTCCCCTTGATTCACACAGTGATGTTTGGTATGAATCTGAGATTAATTCCCTTTTGAACCTTCCCTGAGGAATGACCCATAATTAGTAACACTCTGCTCAGATTGTATAGCTGGTAATGTTAGCAAAAATTATAAAATTATAAAATAAGAGCATAACAAAAAAATAAAATGAAATTAAATAATTCAGCTACAGCCTCCCCCCGCCAATATTTCAGTTTCAAATTGGCAGTAGGAATAAAACAAGGGAGACTTCAAACTTACCAGGACAATATATGGGGGTGAGCAAGGCAAGAGTTATCAGATTATGCAACAGTGCTTAGTACATTAATTAATCCTCCTTCAATCTCAAATTAGGGGCCTCTACAGTACTTTTTGGAGTAGTGGCTCAATCTTATTTAGGTTTTCGAAGCATGGGGATGGAATTAGTGGAAATACACAATATTATTTTTTTTCCAAAGTTCCAATTATCCTGTATTACCTCTCATCTCTTTCTACCCTGCATGGGTTCTCTGGACCTTAGCAGTCTAAAGTTCTTGGAAACTGAATCCAAAGTGATGAGAGATTTTCATTAAAGATAGATTGGAAGTAAAACTCATGTCTCCATGTCCTCTCCTGAAGTCACCAGCTGACAAAGCCTGATGGCCATAAGTCAATTATCTTTTTACTGGAATGTCAGGACATAATCTATCAATAGTCCCCATGACCTGTCCATTAAGATCAATTGAAATAACCAGCTTTTGAGATTTAAGTTAAAAACATTTATTGAACTGGTTTCCATCTCTGCACCTTCTAGGTTTACAGAGGAGGCCAAGAAGGAACGACATCCCTTTGCATACCTGCCCTTTGGGGCAGGACCCCGTGGCTGCATTGGCATGAAAATGGGTTTGTTGGAGACAAAAATTACTCTGCTGAGGATTTTGCAGAAGTTTCAATTCAAGACCTGCCCGGAGACTGAGGTTTGTACATGCAGAGGCTTAAAGATCACTTGTTAACTTAAGGGAGTTGACAGTGTGTCTTAGACAGGACAACAGGTTTGCCTTTGTGACTTCTCTTCATTTGAGAAAACTGTTAGAGACACTTCCATAATAAGGAGAGACCAGGCATGGACTGCATGTTTTAAGCAAAATGTGATTTCAGATATATAATTTTTCCAACAAAAGGACTGTTACACAGCCCTGCCTTAGTGGAGAGCAGTATGGCAAGACCACAGGCAAAATGTCATAATTCATAGAGGGTGAGAATGTGTGTACATATTTCACAGGATCTCAGCACTTTAGTATATGCCTATTGCTACAGACAGTGCACCCATCTCTAGAGTCAGCACTTTAGTATATGCCTATTGCTACAGCTCTAGAGCTTATAGAGTTAATTTCTTTCTGTTCAGATCTACAGCATTCCTGGGTAACCACTGCCTCAGCCTCTGGCTGTAAATTCTATTTAATATTTTACCACCACAGCTGACTGTAAAACAAGTACTTTACAGCTTCCACAGTGATCCTGCTATGAACTGGTCCTCCAGCAAAAATGTCTGTCTGTATGTGGGGGTGTCATACACACATAGATAAACACATACAGCTGCACATAAGATGCTCTTTTCTCTTTCAGATTCCTTTGCAGCTCAAATCAAAAGCCACACTTGGACCAAAAAATGGAGTCTACATCATGCTGGAATCTCGCTAAAAGGGAATGTACATCCTGAAGCCTTTGTTAGTGAGTCACTGGGTATAATTATTTTTCAAAACTCCAAGGACAGACAGGAGCCTAAGTCCCACTGATGGTCAGTAGGTGCTTCCTTGCTGCTCTCCTGTGGGACAGCCTCCAGTCACTTTTTAAAATGGGCTCCACAGTCTTTTTTGGGTATTTTCAAATTGCTGTGAAGAGTATCTACAAAGAAGCATCCCAATTTCATTTGCTTTTCTTCATCCCACTTCTTTTCACCTATCTGTGAGAATGCTTTCCTCATGCTCAGTTTCCACAATTTACAGTAGATTTTAATTTCAATTCATTGTATGACACATCCTTCTCATGAACTTGTGAGTCCCTAGAGAAAGCCCCAAAGGCACCACAGTTACAGCAGAAGACCTGGGATGCAGTGCATTGGATTTTTTCGTGAACTCCACTAGCAATCAAAGCTGAGGCCCCTGTACAATGCTTGATCTCTACCTGTGTCTGTAAAGCTAGAGATGTTGCACCTCCTCCATGCTTTGAAGTGATTTTAAATACACTTAGATTAACAATTTGCACTTGGCACATTCCATCGACATGACAGAAGAAGAATGAACCAGTAAAGTTCCAGCAGCTAAGACCAAAGAAATGAGGTGACAGCTATTTTTCTGGCTGCTGAGCTGCTGTTGGAAAGGTGGAGACAGAGAAGATACGAATTTAAAGCAAGCAGGAGGACTGAAGGAAATTTAAAGGTAATTAGAAGGTGTTGGTACCACATCTGCTTCATGGGGAGGCCTTTCCTTTCCAAACATTGCAGCTGGCACCGCCCCTGTCTAGCTTGAATCAAGGAAAATTTAAAGGTAATTAGAAGGTGTTGGTACCACATCTGCTTCATGGGGAGGCCTTTCCAAACATTCCACTTGGCACCACCCCTGTCTAGCTTGAATCAAGGACATTAAGAGCATGTGTGCACTAGAGCTGGTGGCAGAGGAGTGAGATCCAGGATCATCAGACCCAGCAGGCTCCTGTGACACTGGAGCAGGTCATGTCCTGAGTGCCTCGCCCCCTCAGGAAGGAGCTTGTCTGGTTGCCATCTGCAGCAGCCCCACGGATCTGTTCAAGCTGTGTGACTGCACATGCATCTTCCCAGCCAAAACAACCGCAGCTTCCACTCCTCACATTCCCTCTGCCCTGCACTCCTGCAAAGCCCTCACCTGCCACACAGTGTTGCACAAGAAGGTGGAATGGGGCACAGCTGGGCCAGCTGACCCCTACTGAGCACAGGGGCATTCCACACCTTATGGCACCGTGCTCAGCACATAAAACTAGGGGAAGAAGAAGGAAGGGGGGTGACATTCAAAGTGATGGCGTTTGCCTTCCCAAATCGCTGTTATGCCTGATGGAGCTCTGCTTCCTGGGGTGGTGGAACACCTGCCTGCACATAGGAAATGGTGAATTAATTCCTTTTTTGGTGTGTGGCTTTTGCTTTACCTATTAAACTGTCTTTATCTCAATCCATGAGTTTTCTCATTCTTAAAATTCTCTCCCTCATCCCACTATGGGGATGTGAATGAGCACCTCTGAGAGGCTGAGCTGCTGGCTGGGGTTAAACCACAACAACAGAACTGTGAGAAGAGATTGGTACAGTCCCAAGACCCTCTAAAAAATTCATTTATTCTTATATTTTTTCTTTAAAATTTTTGTATATAACAAAAACTCTCGTGACACTATATAAATAAAGACACACCTTTGGTTCTTTGCAAGTCTTGACCTTCTGCCTGCTTGACATAGTCTGCTTAAGGGTTCCTTAGGTACAGCATCTCTCTTGATGTGCACAGAGAGGTGTTGCAGCAGCAGGAGGAAGAGACTGACTGCTCAGCTTCACTGCAAGGATGGAGCCATCTGCTCACTGATGCCTGGCGAGGTCCCTGAGTTTCTCTCCAGCAAGCATCTTTTGCTGCCTTCTTCCCACATGCTGCCTGAACACTGATCAAATTACTGGATCTTGTTCCTCAAAGACTGTCTCTTCCTCTTTCATGTAATTTTTTTTAAACAGATCTGTATAGGCAAGAGTGGTGAAGTACCAATTGGGGAAGTCTTGGAATTGTTCCTTTTTCCATGGAGCATTTCTGGCATGCTAAACAGAATGCCCTGTTACAGACACACTGATTATATGAATTGCTGATGGAGTGACTGTTATTTATTTCAAAAGCAACATGCTGTATTTACCTTAGTTTCTACACATTATGCACAATTTTTCCCCCCCTAGAAATAGTGTGCTGGAGGCTGATTTTCCGTGTAGCTTACATACACAGTTGACAAAAAGCTGGATGGGCCTTGCCTAAAACTTCCCACCTACCAGAATGAGCAGGAAGTGTATTCCATCTGAAGTCATCTGTCAAAAGCTTGTTTGTATTCCTTACATGATTAGAAAGATTTTGTGTGCTTCATTTTTGAAAAAAATAAGCCCAGCCTAAATCAAGCTTTTCCCTTTCTTATCCATGATTTTGTATAAATTCTTCTTCCCAGTCTCTGCCTCTGCAGCTTAGGTGGTGTGGGTGAGCATTTAGCAGTGAAGACTGAGGCAGAAGGCATGGAGTACCTCAGTCTTCTTCATGTTCTGGGTAACCAAAGCTTCTGTTTCCTTCTAGAGAGGGCCCACATTTCCCTGGTCTTCCTCTTATCACCCACAGTGATACTAGTAGAAGCTTTTTTTTGTTACCCTTGACATTCCTGACCAGATTTATTTCTATCAGGACTTGCTTTAGCTTTCCCAACCTGATCCCTGACTGCTTAGACAATTTCTCTGTATTCCTCCCAGGCTACCTAGCCTTGCTTCCACCTTCTGTAGACTTCTTTTTTGTTTGCTCCTTACTCATCCATTGGGTGTCCTGGCATTTTTTCCTCACTTCCTCTTTGCTGGGATGCATGACTCCTGATCTTGGAGGAAGTGATATTTGAATTTTAACAAGCTTCATTTGGTGCCTTGTCCCTCCCTTTAATCCTGACCTGTAAGGTCTCAGTCAGCTCCTCATCCATCTCCAGGTGGAGCTCCATGCACTACTACACCTGATAATTGATAGAGAGTGACACCCCCTTCTCCTCTCCTCTGTCCTTCCTCAAAAGCCTTATATTTTCATTCCAGCACTCCAGTCACAGGAGCCATCCCACCACATCTGCGTGAGGGCAGTGAGATCACAGACCTGCAGGAGTGCACATCTCTAACCTCATCTTTTATTCTGCATGCTGCATATACTTGCAGAGAGGCATTCAAGTTGGGCTGGAGTGGCTGGAATTTCTTTGTGCTGCTCTTCAGGTGCTCTCCTGCTGAGCTATGAACCCTCTCCAGGCTCTGTGCATCTCTTGCTGGCACTGGCATCAAACTGGTATGACTGGGATGCATTGAGGTGCCTCTCCACCAACATAATTTCAAATATTGATGCCACAGGAAGATTAAACAGTCCTAAAGTGGCTGCTGGTGTGTATCACATTTTACAGGCTTGGAAAATGAACCAAGAGTCTTTCTCAGCTGCATCCACGTTGAACATGGACAGTATGTGCTCAAGTAAACTCACTTGAGTCTGTGCTAAGCATCTTTCAACCGTTCTGCAGGCTTCTGGTTAGGAAGTGTTCTGTGTTTTCACCTGTCAGTTTGTAGCACTATGGAACAGAGAAATTATTTTTGCATTTGAAGTCAGCTTTCTGGAAGTGCATCAACCCTTGTTCTACATGCAGACTGAGACAGACAGCTAGAGAAGACAGGAAAAAGCCTGCCAACTAATCCAGGAAGAGCCCCAAGCCATTTGTTCCTTCTCATTAATGGTTGGTGATACAGCCACCAGACACTGCAGACATTGCACCAGGCACTCAGTGGCGCTGGACCTCACCCTGGCTGTGTGAGCTCAGCATCACACCCACAGAGTGAGCTGTGGCAGGGATCAGTGAGCCTCTGGAAGCACACATTTCCAGGAAAACAGGGCACTAGATTGCCAGCAGCTTTCCAAAACAGAAACTGCTAATGTCACTGTAATCACGGTGTGTTTGTGCGTCCACGTTGAACATGGACAGTATGTGCTCAAGTAAACTCACTTGAGTCTGTGCTAAGCATCTTTCAACCGTTCTGCAGGCTTCTGGTTAGGAAGTGTTCTGTGTTTTCACCTGTCAGTTTGTAGCACTATGGAACAGAGAAATTATTTTTGCATTTGAAGTCAGCTTTCTGGAAGTGCATCAACCCTTGTTCTACATGCAGACTGAGACAGACAGCTAGAGAAGACAGGAAAAAGCCTGCCAACTAATCCAGGAAGAGCCCCAAGCCATTTGTTCCTTCTCATTAATGGTTGGTGATACAGCCACCAGACACTGCAGACATTGCACCAGGCACTCAGTGGCGCTGGACCTCACCCTGGCTGTGTGAGCTCAGCATCACACCCACAGAGTGAGCTGTGGCAGGGATCAGTGAGCCTCTGGAAGCACACATTTCCAGGAAAACAGGGCACTAGATTGCCAGCAGCTTTCCAAAACAGAAACTGCTGTCACTGTAATCACGGTGTGTTTGTGCACCTATATAATATGGTCCCAAACCGATCTTGAGCAGGGCTGGTTTTAGAATTAATTTTTTAAAAAACACAAAAAGAAAGCTACCAAAAAACCCTCCAGAACAAAAGCAAAAAAATAATAACAAAAAAACCCCACCCCCAGCACTATGTTTATAATTGCAATAGCAAAACATAGCTTTATATCCTTAAGTAATGGTAACTATTTAGCATTCTGGTACAACATGCTGCAGTCAGCAGCAGTTGGGTCTAGGGAGGAACAAGGAAGCTGGTTTAAAATTCCTTTCCTCAGAAACAGCAAGTGTGTTGTCTTGCATTGCTGAGCTGTGAGTTTGTTTAAAATCGGGCACGTCTGTGTTACAAAAGGGTTTTAGTCATTCTCTGACAGCTGATACGAAGCAAAGGCTGCTTGGCAAAGGAAAGCTTCTATTAAATATGTCTTCTGGTCTTTGTAATGATGACAGAAAGCTGTCAGTATGAAATGGTATTTTTAAGGAAGCTGCTGATAGCAAAAAAAGCTTTACAGTTTTGTACTTTAAAAATAGTATCCCTAGAAAAAGAGTTGGGTGGCAGAAATTATTATACTTCATGGATTGCAAATTGGAACTTTGTAGTCTTACTTAGCATTAAACTGCAAATTTCCTCTCTGTGTGAGATACTTAGGGGATCACCTCCTCATTTCCCTTTGTTAATCATCCTGGACATAGCTTCACCTGATACCAGACTCTTCCAGGTGATTACAGCAGAAAGCAGGGCAAAAGAATTTAAAGCTGATTTATAAACTGTCACTGCTTGGTTTATACTGGCCCCGCTTTCTTCTGACCTTGAAAAATATCATGTTTCTAAGATGTTTTTCTCCCTGCACTGCAGGGGGCTATGGCTACTTTCAAGGAGGGAGTATTCCCTCAGTTGCTAGGATTTCTGCATGCAGAGATGAATTTGTGATGGGCCTGAAGCTAGAGCAATGGAGCAACGGAGGCCGTGAAGTCTATCCCTTGGACAAACAGGGAAGCACCAGCTATGCTGCCCATGCAAAAGCCATCCCACCCGGATCTTCTGCTGGATGTACTCCAAGTTAAGCAGCGTTTCTGCAATTTCCACTTGCCCTTTGGCCCTAAGGCAGCCTTGGTTCCTAGAAGCAAAGCTCATTCTCCAAGCAAAGCCCAGGAGCACTGAGCACACCATGGCAGCTGGTATCTGCAGCCACCCAAGTTCCTCTCACCCACCAGCCCCTACTTTGCCAGGCTGCAGGTATCCAAACCGGATACTGCCACTCCCTTGCTGCCAACACTT